ACATACACATACACATACACATACGCGTGCACATGCACATGCGCATGCACATGCACATGCACATGCACATGCACATGCACATGCACATACACATACACATACACATACACGCACACACAGACATACATACATACATACATACATACATAATACATACATGTGCATATATATATACTCATATTATATATATACACGCACTTAGGTACACACGTATCTGACACATCTTGAATGTGCACTCGTGTGTATAAATGAGTATGTACTTAGTAGGCTAGATACAGCTGGGCACTTTCTAATCTACCAGTGTTTGCAACAGCACATGATACACAAGATGTGTGTGTGTGTGCGTGCCTGACGGTAGCGGTAGAAGAATGGCAAACATGCTTCTACATATAGGAAAGTCATGGACGTCACAGCGATCACGGCGGTCCAGAAGTATCAGTTACCAACATCAGAGATAGCGATGGACTGCTGCTGCTTCCTGGGCTTGGCGCCTCGCGCTCGCGCGGCCCCAAGCAAGCGGCTCAGGCCCCGCCGAGGACTCATACTTCGGGTTTAGCCCGGCTTTGTGGCTCAACGTTGTTTAGCAGATTCAAGGCTTGTTCAAGCAGAATTTGGTTTGAAACAGATTTGCTGTATGGGGCTTAGGGGGCTGTCGGGGTTTCAGTATTGCTGATTCGGTTGCACGGCGCGAAGGTTGAGTTTGAGGCTCTAGACATCTGGGCTCGGTTTCTACCAATCACGAAAGCTGGCTATTCAGGAGCTTGCGGGAGGTGTAGGAGCATAGTTACAAGACACTGTAGGGCCTTTCGGTTTGATACCTCCTTTCTCAGGGCCCCCAAGAACCCCATCGTCTTACTACTGCTGCTGCTTCTTCTGGTGCTCGCACTGGCATGACCAGAATAGCACTGGCGCTATATACTGACCACACTACTATGCATACGGAGACCGAACGAGGAAACCTTTGCAGAGCGTCTCCACGTGCTACTGTGGGGGTGTGCGCCGAAACAGGAGAGCCGCGCGCACCGCAGCCCCAGCCCCGAAGCCCTAGTCTCGCTAGATTTCGTGGCCTCCTCTCAAGTTGAACTTGGTTTCGGGTCTCAAACCGTTTGCAAGGCATCTTGCTGTTGGAGATTTTCTGTGGTTGTGTTCGGCACAAGGGCTCTTCTTGCCGCGACCTAGAGCCTTCAGCCTTAATCTGCGCGGACCAGGCTTGTGCGTCATGGAGCCGCTCAGAATGCAAACAAACTGTTCCAACATGCTCCTGCCAAACGAAAGTATCCTTGTCTGGTCGTTAGAACGCAACGTCTAGAGTCTAGCAGCTTGTAATTGGAAGCTTACTAGGTAGAGCTTAACGGGGTGTGACTTGAAACTTGAACGGGGGCGGTTCCACAGAGTCGTTGACAGCGATGGAGCTGTTGATGGAAGGCAATCCCACCAGACACTTTTATCCATCCGTCAGAGTGCTGACAATAGCGAGCCACTTGCGCAAGATGTCTGAAGGCGGTGCTGCACAGTCTGTTGCCAAGCGCAATTTCGGTGTTTGCTCGGATCCAGGTTCAGCACTTGAGAGTTTACGACTCGTTTGTCGAATGAACAGCCAGATGATTAAGTATCTCTTGCATTCATGCAGTTCGGTTGGTCAGATGCTCCAAGCTGTGTTGCGACAGCTGTGTAGCAAAGGGCAGACCTAGCAGACGAGGCACTTAGTCGTGATAGTTATAATCCTTCGATCGTCAATGCGGCATGGTCGCTCTTAGGACTAGTCGGCAACTCTTTCTCTTGCTTCAGAAATGTAGAGGAGGCCTGACCCAACCTCCCAAAGCTTGAGATAGCTTGCAATGAGTGGGTTCCCTACTGTTTGCCCTCGGTTTCGTACATGGTGTTCAGGGTTTTGGCGGTTTTGTCCCCTGACCCATATTGCATCCGAGGAGAGTCAGTACAATGTATACTATGCTGAACACCATCGTGATCCAGGCGGGAGGCTTCATCTCACGCCACAACTTGAGCCTGGTACATGCATGTGCTCAACCGTTCGTTCATCCGAATCCGAGGGTTGGCTGCAACGGGGTCTCTTGTTGGATTCCTTTGAGTTCAGACCGGTGTCTGCCTCTGTCTCGATTTCAAATCGTAGAGCACAAGCCTCACAAGCTGCCGACATGTTCCCTCTACTTTGCCTCTATTGTCTGTGTGAAGACGAAGAGCTCGTTTTCCGCAGGTGGCTACTATTGCCTCAAGCCTCGCAATTCTCAGCTTGGCATTACTGGTTTAGCCTAGACCCCAAGACTCAAAGTCAAGTTTCGAAGCACGGGGGAGCTTGCACAAACACACACACACACACCACACACACACACACAAATAAATATGTGGATACACGCACACTATGGGACAAGACTTAGAATTCCGCTGCCGATGCAGCTTCAACAAAACACTTTAGAGAATTGCAGATTCCCTGAGCATCCAAGAGGTAGAACAGATCATGGCAATGGAGAGTGGTACCGAGGGCCCCTTAGTTCAATTATCCGGAGTTCAAACCACCAATTCTCCTCGTGGAGGCGACTTCTGGGATGCTGCCCTCACACCGAAGGGCGAGGTGCTTTAGCAAGATGGCAAAGGAAATCAGAAGGCAACGAGAAAGTTGAGAATATTGCATGTGTGTATGTCGTGGCCAGCTCCCATTGCATGTTTGCAGCTGGCAGAGTCACTACTCCATTCCTGGTTTGTGCATGGCAGTGGCAGTTTCGGCAATATCGGCTCATGACCACATCGTCATCAGCAGTGTCACCATCGCCAGTTCCACGACCACCACCAACATCATCATCATCAGCAGCATCATCATCGTCATCGTCAGCGTCATCATCACCCTCATCATCCTCATCAACAACATCATGTCTTCAGCATCAGCATCATTATCATGGTCATCAGCACACTCATCATCCTCGTCACCATCATCATCACCATCACAACTTAATCATAAGCGCCATCAACAACATCATTTCTTCAGCATCAGCATCGTCATCATCATCATCATCAGCAACATCATCGTCACCAGCACCATCACCGCCAACATCACAAACATATTCACCAATATCTCCATCATAATATCATATGATATCCTTGGCCATCATCATCATCATCAGCAGCAGCATCATCTTGATTGTTACCATGTGTTACTATCAGCCTCATGAGGATATCACTGTTTTCATCAAGCATCATCACCGCCATCGCTTGCTTGATCTTCTTCACCAGCACGGGCAGGAGAAAGGCACGTGTTGGGTTGAAACATGTGGGTTACAGATTCAGTGGCTCAGCATCTAGAGTTTGCTGGTGTTTCAAGAGACGCATGTTGAGCATGAATGCTTGGCTTGTGCTCGCAGTAAAGAGAGCGGGGTCGCGAAGCTGCTCGAGATGCCGACATAACAAGTTTCAACAAGAACCACCGATCCTGAGAATCAGAAGCTGGAACGTCGCCGCCCCGCTTTCAGCCCCGTTAAACGCTGGGCATCCGTTTCTCCAGCCTAGGCTCCCCACAGGAGGGTTGGAAAGCTGTTTGTCTTTAAATTGTTTAAGCATGTACACCGTCGGAGTGTTTAAACAAAGCAGTCCTGCAGCTGAAAGTGCTTCAACGGCTAACCTTGTTTAAGCGCTGTTGAAGGACGCCTAAGCGCTCACATGTTTAAACAGTTGCTAGTTGCACAGGTAAGCGGTTTAAATGTTCCGAGTCCTGAGGTTTGTTCATAAGCTGTTTAGACCCCCAAGTCGTTTACAGGTTTAACCCAAACGTTTTTGGCCCATTCCTGCCACACCGGCTCCTGAGAACCCAACCTAACTTAACTCGGGTAGCACTACCTCCTTCTCCAAGGAACAAGCCAAGCTCCTTAGATCTCGCTTTGAGAAGCTTCCCGAGATGATCGTCAGCTACCCGGCCGTAGCACGATATATCGCCTGTCTCGATAATGGTACTCGTATTGCTCGTCTGATTGTATCTATGCTCTCTACTTGTGGCATGCTTGTCATTTTAGCGCACCGAGCTAATTGTAGCAGCAGCGCCGGAGGAGAAGCAGCAGTAGCAGGAGCAGTAGCTGTGTCAGCAGTGCTAGTACTGGTCGCGGCCGTGGCCACGGTCGGGGTCGGCATCGCCGTAGCGATTGCGGGTGCGGTCGTGTTGGAGGTGGCGGTCGTGTTGGAGGTGGTGGTCGTGGTCGTGGTCGTGGTCGTGCTGTGGTGTTGGAAGTAGTGGGTGGTTGGTAGTTGCTGCAGTGGTTGTAGCGATGGTGGTTGTAGCGTTTGTGGTAGTGGCAGTGGTAGTCGTAACAACAGGATGTTGTGTAGGAGGAGCGGCAGCTGTCCACAGCAGTAGCAAGCAGTAGCTGTATAGAGCCAGCACTCGGCGGCGACATAGCAGCAGCTAGGCCGTCCAGTAGCAGTTGGAATGTAACAACAACATTTCGGCAATATTCGATGCTTTCTGTAGCTCTACCCATGCAACAGTTGCCGTTGTTTCTTTTGTCTCACACAATCCACAGGTTCGCCATTGACCCGCGCGATTCAGACAGCGCTGCTTGCTGTCCCGGACGGAACAGGACCGGGATGCTTCAATGTTAATGTCAGTACTGAGCTTCATTGTGGGGGCCTGGAGTTTAGCACTTACAGTTTGGGTCTTGGGCGATTGAGCGTTCTGTTGCCCGAGCGCCAAACCTTGCTCGTTTGTGTTAGCCCTTTCATGTTGCTCGCTGCTTACAGTTGGGAGGTTTCCCGTTAAGAGACTTGGCTTGCTGTCAGGACGACGGGTCGTGGCGAACCCTCTTTGCTCTGAGCATCTGGAGGCCTCCGAGGGAATGTCAGGCAGCCATGTCCGTTTCCATGAACTCTTAAACCAGCTTAAGCCCAAAGTTCTATTGATGAGCTTGGTAAACTTTTCTTTACCCCACCCCTCAGAGTCCCGGAGTCCAGCTACAGGCCTCCTGCGACCTCGGAAGGCAAATTTGGCTGCAGCTGGCGGGCAATTCTAGTAGAGGCTGAAAACATACTACTTTAGGCTTAGAACGTATATACTCAACTGCAATTGGAAGTTTAGTAGTGGCCTAAAACTTACTACCTTACTGCAATTAGAGGCCTAGTAGAGGCTTAAAGCTGACTGCCTGCTGCAATTAGAAGTTTAGTAGAGGCTTAAAGCTTATTACGCTACGGCCGCTACGGCAATGAGAGGCTTAGAAGAGGCTTGATTGATAACTCCTCCAGAATTATAGGCCCTCGCCTCGGCCCGGTGCGATTGCTTGAAGCTTTCCTGGGCTTGCCTTTCCTTTGGGCCACGAGCTGCAGTCGTCCACGCGAACTGCAAAACTTTGGTTCCGACCCGGGCCCGAAAGCATCCGCTCCGTATCAAATCTTATTTCCTGGGAACGGGTCTTTAAATATAAGGCGGGGAGGGCGACTAATACGGAGCACAGTATATTTGAGGTACCGAGCGATCGTCACGAGCTTGCACACCTTCAGAGACAACCGAGGCCAGCGTCGCAGCTCAGATTCGCCTTTCCGCAGGTGCGTTGGGTGGATTCATCGAGATCGGCACCAGGGTCTTGTGGAAACCTGCCAACAGCGGAAAAGCCACGCGAAACCAACACTTTGTCCTGCAGCTCCAAGTGATTGCTTGTCATGGTCCTGAGGTTTTAATCCCACGGCTTTCCTAGTCAGCCCAAAACCTTCGTTCGAAACCGTCAAGCCTAAAGCTCCCAAGCCTTACGCCTTGCACATTACAATCGCAGGTGGATTTCGGGAACTTGCCCGACGTGTGGTGGCACTTCGGCGGCGAAAGAAGGCCAAGTAGACCGTGGGAAGCTCTGGTTGTTTTTGCTTGGCATTTTCCATTGGCTACTAGTATGTGTTCTTGCTTAAGTTCTGAATGCTGTTTTGTGTGCTGCGGGCTTTCGGATTAAAGTTGAGGGTCGTCAGCAGTGTCGACTGCATCAGAGCAGGTGTCACAGGCTCACTGAATTTCTGCTGTGGCATCATTGCCTTGCAGGTAAGCTCCGCACCCCAAACTCCGACACTCTAAACCGCAAGTCGCTGAACCTGAACCAAAATCAGGCTTGGTCTTAAGTCTCAAATATGGCCCTGTAGAGTAGAGATGGACAGCAATAAGAAGAAGCGTATTTCGACCAAGGTATGTTCCAGATGATTGCAAGGCTGGCCGGGCACAGTGCACGATGTAAAATGGACTAAAGATGGTAATGTGACTACCACCAAACGGTTAGACGGTTCGCCATCGTTCCGTCGCAGGTGGGGTCACATGCCTATGAATTTGTGCAGGGCATGGAAAATAGTCGAAGGGCATTCGCCAAAAACCCGCTTTGCTTCATACTTTCGGAATCCGTCTGATCCCAGCCAGCAATCAACTCCTCAGAGAGAGTTGACCCAAGGTCGGGCCCCACCAAGCTACTAAACAAAGCCACAGGCACAGACCTTGAGAAACCCTCTCCGACGTTTTTCTAGAAATTGATTGATACCGAAGGCAGGCATCACCCCTGAAGCTTCTCAGAAGCTCTTCGCCAATGATGGCGCCTTGGACTCGGATGGCAGCCTTCCAAAGCTTGCAAGACAGAGGCAGAATGAATATGCCTTTGAGAGCGAAAGGGAGTTGAGCGATAGCTGCTAGGACTCAAACTTATAAGTTACTGAGTTGTAAGGGGGTGGAGCGTACATGAAACAACCTCATTGCTAACAGTTGTGTCAGAAGAACCGTGGCGGTCATGCCTAAGTGAGCATCCTTTCAGCTCGTTGTCTCAAGACTTCACCTCTCGGCACTGGCGTCATCTTCGACCTTGCAGCCTCGACGATATTTCTGCAGTCAGCTACGCCTGCAACGGACTGGACCTACCATGTCGGGGTTCAGCTTCGAGTGTCTGTCATCTGCGATAAGCAAACGTTAGAGATTTCAATGCAAGAGCAAAGTACGGCGCAGTAGTTTCTTTTTGTGGTCGTGCCTTCCGACTGCACATTTACCAAGAACTGAAACAGCACCTGAACATAATCCGGAGCGTGTGGTCTACAACCTGCTTGATCTCCCAACCTTTTTTCTTTGATCGTGCGTTTTCCCGTGTCTTAGCTTCCAGCCGTTGAATAGCTCTTCCTCCAAAAATGAGTGCCCGACACTTCCAGCATTCGCGAACATGGCAGGTAGGTTTCGGCACTTAGACATTGAGCGCTTTGAGTTTGGATAAGTAAAGACCCAGGTGTGGGGCCTTGATGCTTTGGCCTTGTTTAGTTCAAGCCGCAGGGTTTGTGGATCCGCTTCCAGTGAGTAATGAAGCTGATTATCTCCGTCCCGAAAGGGGGCATCAATGTCGAAACAAATGCTCTCAACCATGGAACCACAACAGCAACTGATGACGGCAACTGCAGCAGGCAGAAAAGCAGTGACAGCAGCAGCAGGATCCCAGCCCCTCGCCATGCATGCATGCATGCATGTCGTATGTGTGTGGGTATGCATGCTGACACGTACGATTACGCACATATTCATGAGTATATGTAAGCCAAAGGGCACGACATGCAAATGTATATGCACACACGTACACAGGGTGCTTGCGTGTGTGTGTGTGTGTGTTTATATATATATATATATATGTCATATGTATCTGTATATGCATACAAATGCGTGTGTCTGAATATATAGGAACAGAAACTGATGTAAACAATTACTTTTGCATTAATCCTATGTAGAATTGAGCAATATTATATAGCCTCGTGGCATTTTGCGTTCTTTTCTTTCTTAGAGGCCGCCGGGAGTCCCGGCCTGACTTCGAGCGCCGCGTCGACTCCTTTGTGGGCTGGCTCATGCAGCAGCCTGGGAAGGTCCCCCGAACGGACGTTCGGTCTTCGGGGTTTCGATTTCACTTGTTGGGCGCAGGGTCCCACGCATTTCGGCATGTGTGGATTTGGTGTTGCTGGAGGAGCTCTGTGCGAAAAAGCAACATGCAAGACCTGCACGAACCGGATGAGCCCAGCCCCGGCAGATCTCGTTTGGAAAGCTGTTCAACGATTTGCTTCATGCAAATGTAAATTGGTCGAGGATTCCTGATGAATGGATGATTTTGTGATCCGTGTGTGTGTGTCATTATTCTTGACGATGAGATGGTGTGGATGATGATTTTGATGCGGATGATGACAAGAAGATGAGTGCCATCATGATGGCTCATGGTTCATGATGGTGATGACGCGGATGATGGCTTTGACAAGTGTCATCTGGCAGTCGGTGCAATGAGTGTATCAGAATCTTGGTCGTAATGGTCATGGTGATCGTGATGATGGTGTTATATAACGCAGATGAGACGATAAACGTAAGCCATTGTATTGATGAGAGATGGGGTGAGCATTCAGATGGACCCACTACAGCATTGCTGGTGTTGCTGTTGCTGTGTCGCTCCTGCTGCCGCCACTTCTGGTTGTCTCAGCATTCACATCGATTTTTGTCACAGGGCACCTGGAGTCGGAGGAGGATTCCGCTCGTGGCACCATAACCCCTCGTGCTGTTTTGCTATTTCTACTGTAGCCGAAGGTTTGCACCAGCTGACCATATGAGTGATCTGCTGATTGCTGGTTTTGTTCGGCTTCTGGCTGGTGCAATTATGAACTGTAACGCCGACCTCAGCAGATTTGCTGCTCTTGCCTAGCATCGCTGCGGCTACGACATTGATGATGCACCTGCTGTTACAGAGACGACAACGACTACGCACCACTGAGACTAATGCATGGACCGCCACCACTGTCAGCAGCGCCACATGTGCAACAAAGATGACAGCTACTACGACGACGACGATCATGACGACGATGTCGATGATGTGCTAGTTGTGGTGATGGGGGTTCTCCGTGGTGATGATCATATCTATCTTGGCAGTAATGGCATCAGGATCATACCTTCGAAGCCGATGGTGATGTTGTTGTTCTTGTATTGATCAGGTCATAAAGTCATCATCACCATCAATGCCAGGATCTCCGGTGAGCAAGGTCATAATGGTCTCATCGCACTGTTGTCATAATGGTCTCATCGCACTGTTGTCATCACTGTGTCTTGTCATTGATGATGGTTCTGTTGCTTTTTGTGGTGATGGTGCATTTGCAAGTGGCGGCCAGGGCAAAATGTCTCGACGACGGCAGTCCACGACAGCAAAGATGTCGAAACCGTTGACATCTGTTGACGGTGATGGTAGCAAGGAAAATGGTGCGGAAAAAAGAAGATGCAGGAGATCGCGATCTTTGCCCACGCCGATTTCTGCAACTGCCTCCTTCAGCGCTACTTCAGCTGGCGGGAGGTGCAGCTTCTGCGATCGTGCCCGATTATTTGTTCAGCCCTCTGTTTGCGAGCTCGGCAGACAGAACATCATATCTGCTTGTTTATGGACATGCTTACTGAGTCTTACTGACTTACTTGGGTGGCCTACAGTGTTAGTGGTGAATTAAAACCCCCCGTACTACAACATGTCGGAGAGTCGTTGGAGACTTTAACTCGAGGTATGTTCTTCTCGCCTGGATATAGGTTCAGCCGTGGCTGGGGCTGCAGCCCTGCGCAGATTTGGGGCCGAATCGTACTGCCAACAGTGCCGTGACGCACGCATTGCGCCTGGTGCGACATCTGCACACCTCCCCCCATGCACATGTCGCTGTTCAAGCCTTGCTCTCGCCACTCCTGTATGCTGTAGACAGTCTAGTGCTCGAAACACTTACCGTCGCGATCACATTGCATTGCCGTGCTTGTCCGCCTTGTTGACCATTGGATGGGCCTTCCTCTCATCTTCTCTGTCTTTACCGGCATCATGGTAGAAACTGTCAGAGCTCCGTATCATCATGGCAACGAATTCAACGGCCGTCCAATGCCTTACACATTACGATCCCTTCTGCGTCGGTCGAATGTGGCGACTGCAGGAAAACTTTAAAGACTACTGGATGAGCAACTGCGAGCTGCTGGAAGCACGGCCATGAAGTTGGTGGGGTCAGCTAGCTGTCGGGTTCACCCGATGTGTTGCAGACACTTGAAAATGGGAACGTCGTCGTGAGCACAAGATGTCCACAAGATTGCTCGCGGCAACTGAGGAAGTCGAGCTCCGACAAGAGGCGCGAAACCTTCAAGCCTCATAAGGCAAGCCTTGCAAGCCGCGCAAGCCCCAAAACCCACTAAGCTCTGTATGTAAGTCAGAAGACAATCAGAAGTTCGGCGATGGGGATCATTGGGGTTGTCACACTCGCACAGTAGGTTTTCAGCATACGCTTGTGGACGAAGCTCTACTACTTTAGCATGGCCAGGTTTGCAAGTCTACAGCTGCAAGCACTTTTGCACCGGATAGTGCCGAAACTCAAGCATTTCAACCAGATGCTTCTTGTCTGACAGGACCTGAGAAACCCGGTGCTTTCTGCAGCCTCGGCGAAAGCATCGGAGGCATGTGGCCGCGGTTGTTGGGCATACGTTTTATGGTGGAAGGCTTGAGGGTCAAGATCTCGTCGCGGAATTTAGCGCATCTCTGCAGACTCCACTTTCCTGGTTCTGTGTCAAGATCCCCTTCACATCTTGAAGGTGTCAAGACATCATTTGCCATTTGCGCCACGGAACCGAAACGCAGAACTCAGTGCTTTGCGGCTGGCGGCTGCGATCAGTAGTTACAAAGTCGAAACCTTGAGCCCCAAAACCCTGAAAAAGGTTTCTGCCGCTCCGGAGCCGAAAGCCGCTTCTGCTCCGATGCCGGCACCTGCCAACCGCGCCGCCCTGGCGCTGGAAGCCCTGCGCCAGGACCGAGGGCTCTTTTGTTGAAGTTTGGAGTTTCATTTGCTGCAGGATCTGGGCGTCCTGTGGTGGAAAGCCTGCCGGCTATGTCCGTTTCGCATGCCAACTGGAAGCTTCTTCTTTCCAACGTGACCTGCGACCTGCGTGCAACCCTCATAAACCCACCTCGTTTCAAGAATGAAGTTGCACCATCAAGCATTGACCGACAGTGCCAATCAGATCTCACTCGTACCGAAACCCGAAACACCATGCGCAACTACATCCCTCTACCCAAAGCCTGTAAAACCCATTCGCCACTGCAGGAGCTCAGCCAAAAGCACCCAGAACTGAAGCCTGGAGAGTTGCGAGCAAAGGCGGCCAAGGTGGGCTGTCCGGGATTACACACTGTTACCGTTGCAAGCGATGTGGGATTGTTGCGCCGAGATGTCTTCGGAGTGTATGTTTGAGGGATTCTGATTTCGCTGAGTCGGGGCGAAGCGGGGAAGTGAACAGGTTGCGTTGCGGATATTCACACGTGTGGATTTGAGAGTTTCGATTCCTTTGGCCGCATACATGACGAGTTCACCATGTGTCTGCACTGTGCCTGTGCCTCGGGTTCTGAGATATTTTGGCTACAAGATCCCCTAGCCCCCAGGTTGAATGCATTTTCTCTCACACAGGCTTTATGGCTTTATGTACACTTGCTACAAAGCCGCCTTGTCATTGGCAGGGATGACTGTGTGGGTTTGATTATGCTTGATGTGAAACTCCAAGATTTTGTTCCCACACCAGGTTGGATAGAGACAGATGCCTCCTGCAGCATCTACTCCTCGTTGCACTGAAAGCATTTCTGTCTAGTGAACCCATTTAGGCTGCCTTTCGGGGTCGCTTTTGCCTTCCTCTGTTGGGGTCCCGAGTTGCCTCAACCCGGAACTTTCGAGCCTCAAGGCAAATTGTATTGTGCACCGGCCCAACCAAGCACGAAGTTGGAAGATGCCGTTGCCGGATCAATCAATCCAACTGCCGCCTTACAACTTGCCGGCTTTGGCTGAGTCTTCTGTATGCTTGCTCAAGATTGAGGCTGGATCTCAATGATTAGTAGCTTGCCTCCAGAACTTCGAGCCTCGTCTCTGGCGAAAAAAGAATGGGCAACTCAGGACTCGGAACTTGAGACCCAATGCTTTGCGACGACAAAGATCCTCCTCTCGACTTTCCGAAGAATCATGTCCGAGATGTTGCATATTCTCTAAGAACCGCTTCCTCAATGCCTCGGCGGTGCATCTGCTTCAATCCCGAAGCGGGAACCAAGGTGTCTTGTATACGATTGGCAATGCCTACATGACCGAAATACCGAGAAACACACCGCCCGCCTTGCAGGAATGGAAAGCCCTGACGCAGGAGGCGCGGCTCGTAAAAGGGTTCATTGAAGTGCTCAACCATCTTTGAAGGATTGAATAGGATGTCTCAAGATCACCGAGTTCCGTACATACATTTTTGAGGAGGTTTGGTCTGAAGGGCTTTCTGGGCTGTCAGTTTGGGGCATCGGCTTAAGAACTGTCTTTGTTAGCTTCAACATTGCCTCGAGACTGGATCAGGAGGAGAATGACGTTTAAACAACTGCTGGCTCGTCGTATCATGTCCTTCTCTCGCTTGTCTGTTGGAGGCTCGGGATTTTGAACACGATGTCGATGAGGGCCGAGGCATTTGATGTGGTAGGCTTCCTCAATTTCAGACGGGCCTTCTTCTTCGCGTGGACGAAGCATAACTCTCCGCAAGTCTTCGCCCCGGATGCATATACATATATGACATATACATATTATATACATATAAACATATAGCACCACATGCACAAGCACATACCTACACCTACATACACATACATACACATACATGCGCACATTCATACATATGCACAAGCATACATACATTCATACATACATACATTCATACATACATGCATACATACATAGTAACATAGTAACATAGTAAC